CTAAAATCCCGCCCGAAACAAAATATCGGGACACAGGACAAACTCCTCAAAATAGGGACAGTCCCGATTTTATCGGGACGTCTGGTCACCCTGTTCACACTGAGGCTTGTCAGTATCCTCTTCCCTTATAAAAAAAATACTACAGTGTTTTTTAGTAATACTTCACATCACTTGACAGTAGAACTAGCAGTATTTGGGGCGATTATTCTAGAATACTTTAGTATTTAATTTTTGTAGATAAGGTTTGGGATCAGTTGAAATGGGTGCTACCAAGTGATGTTATTATTCCCTTGTGATGTTAGGCACCCCCTTTTCTCATAGTATCATAGAGTTTAAGGACAGAAGGGACTGCTAGATCATCTAGTCTGACCTCCTGCACGCAACAGGCCACCAACACCACAGGTTCACATTTGGTGTTTTTATGGGCTCATTAAATTGGTGGCTCATAGTCATCGTGTTATTAACTAATACACCCAGGTCTCTCTCCTGTGTCATTTCCAGCTGATAGCAGAAATTCTTGTTGTTAGTCCCTGAGTGCATGACCTTATACTTCGTACTATTAAAATTTTACCCCATTTCTATATTCCAGGCCTCTAGCTCATCCAATTCTTCCTGTATAATATTCTGATCCTCCTCTGTATGGACGATGACTCTCAACTTTTTGTCATCAGCAAATTGAATTAGCGCAGTCCTACTTTTTGTGCCAAGGTCATTAATTAAAATATTAAATATGATCGGTCCCAAGAGTGATCTTTCAAGAATGCCATTAGTAACCTCCCTCCAGCCGAACAGTTCTCCTTTCAGCACAACCCACTGACCTCTTCCCTTTACACAGTTTCCTTACCCTCCTTACAGTTCCTGTATTAATCCCCATTTTACTAATAATTCCCCATGTAGTATCATGCCAATGCTTTATTGAATTTTAGATCGATTTCATTCACTGCATGTCCTCTGTCTAAGAAATCAGTTATTTTATCAAAGGAAGATCTACCTTTGATAATTCCATGTTGGATTTTATCCCATTTTCATTTACCTCCAGTCTTTAATTATTCTTTCCTTCAAAACTTGTTCTAAAATCTTGCATACTATTGACAAACAGATCTATAGTTGCCTGGACTACTTCCCCCCCCTTTCTTAAATACAGATAACTATGTTTGCTATTCTCCAGTCATATGGTATCTTGCTACCTGACTTGCAATTTCATGTGCCAGTTCTTTCAGTATTCTGGGTTGGAGATTATCTGGTCCCCCCAGTTTGGGAGCATTAAACTCTTTGAGCTTTGTTTCTATTTTGGACGTGATCATTTCCATTTTCATACACTCATTCCCATTAGCCATCCTACCTTTCCAGGCCTCTATGTTCTACATTCTTCTCCACTGTTGCTGGCCTGGGAGCAGGGGCCCAGCAGCATGCTATTTTGGAAGCAGTAGAAAAGCTTAGGAACCAATCTCAGATCCTACATATTTGATAGACACGATCACACAGCTAAATTTTATATAGAAGAAAAACAGATTTCAAATATAAGCAATTTACATGGCTTTCAAGGCTTCTGAGCTGAAGCGTCCTATAACAAACACTGCAATGTGATGTAATTAAGATTTAAACCTGTTTTTTTGTACAATTAGGGAGAAAAGAAAGCACTACTGTCAAAATAATATCAGGAAAAGATACCACTTGGCGTACCTAATCCCCTCCCAAATCAAATCTATTCTGAAAACCTACACTAATCTCCTTGGAGACATTAGCACATTTGCTAAAAACAGAGAGTCCCTTGGAAGTGTAACTTAAAAAATTTAACAGCACATGTCGACTTTACAGTCTACATACATTATGAAACTAGTGACTACCTTTCCAGAAGAAATAGTCATCAACTTTTTTTTTTCTCGAGTACTACAAACATTACTGACTTACTGGACAATGAGCATAACTGAAATATTTGATACATTATTCCATGACTGAAATATCCATTGAGGCACAAAAAACCAGTTAATCGACTGAAAAGAAACAATAAAAAATCTGTTCTGTACAGGGCCAGCTCCAGGCATCTGCTTAACAAGCAGGTGCTTGGGGCGGCCAAGGGAGAGGGGCGGCACCTGTGGCAATTCGGGGGCGGCAGGTCCCTCACTCCCTCTAGGAGCGAAGGACCTGCCGCTGACTGCCACCGCCGATCGCGGCTTTTTTTTTTTTTTTTTGCTTGGGGCGGCAGAAATGCTGGAGCCGGCCCTGGTTCTGTATATTAATGTGAGCTAGGAGTCCCTTAAAGGTGAAATCAATATTAATTCCCATTTTTAAAAATGATTCTCTTCTGTGATGGGAGACAATTGCTTCATTCTGGGACCTGGATTCTTGCTTGTTCAGTTTTAACAAGTAGCTCAGTTTCAGCTTCTGGTAAATGTTAAAAAATAACAAAAATAAAAAACCCACAATCTTTACATCACCTCCTTTAAACCAATTAAACATACTTGTAAACACAGACTTGATGGAAGCTTAGAAACTGGAACATCCATTGCTGGGGGAAGGGGAGAACAGATGTCACTATGAAGTCATATGAAGAGAAATATCATTGGATTCAGAATGATGAAGTGCAGCTTGCATGTACCATGGGCCAGATTGTGCAATTAACACCCAGACTTGTGCTAGAAATGGTGTGGAGCTGCACTGCTCTAGAGGGGGAGACAGTCCCTCTTGACATTCCCCAGCACTCAGGAGTCTATACAGTACATCATATCTCAGGTTGATGCAGCTAGTTCTACAAGGTGCACGTGCCAGGCTGTGCTGGCCTATGTGAAAGGTGGCAGGACTGTGGTCCCATCAATTCTCTACCCCTGTTATAGTGACTTGTGCCCATAGCATGCTACCTCCTGTCTCACCAGTGGAGTCCCTTATCTGTGGCAACAGGAACCTCCCACTACAAGCTAGCCAACTTCACACCAGCTGAGGATTCCCTTCCACTGGGAAAATCTACAGCAGCCCTTTCAGAGCAGCTATAAAGGTCTCTTTTTACTACTCTGGCAGTGCAAAGGGCTAGTAGCATGGGGCAGAATCTGGGCTCTTGTCTATTTAAATTGCACATGTTTGGTTTTCTGTACAATTTTCTATTTTCCTATCACCTTATCAGTTTCAATAAAACTGTCCGTGGTGAACTGCCCAGCTATCTCCTTGTGTTTTCACTGTCCATTTAGCTGATTCTCCTGTATATAAATTACAGCAACATTCAGATTGCTCTAATTTATACTGGGGACTGGTCTGGCACCAACAAGAACCGCAGGGCCAGGCCTTAAGCCATATTTCCACTGCTCCTCTTGACCTACTCTGAGCACTGAGAACTAGGCACCTGTATTTATTGATTCCTTCGGACTATAAGCATTCAGTGTAAAAATTCCTGCAGGGGACTATGTTCTGCACTACAGGGTGTAGAGACTGTTTCTCCAGGAAGAAGTTCAATGTGTCGTATAATTTGGTATTGGATCTACCCTCCCTGAAAGCCCCCACAAGACTACAGTTAATCCAGGTGAAAGCCTAAGGACTGCTGTTCAGAAGCCTGTGCTTTTGACCAGAGACAAGTTGGTGGAATCCCTGCAAGGAAGTCAATATACTGGGATACATCCCGCATTCAATTGACTCACTTTACAAAATATGTGTGGGGATCTTGCATGGAATGACATTAATTTTCTCTATCCCCTTTGCAGTCTACAATTGAGGATTGCTACAAAACAGCAGTGACAATTATGTTGCGGCACACATTTATTTTATTTTATTCTCAGATGCATTTTAGATTACATAAAAAAACCTAAATAGCTTATGCAAATCACCATGTGCTCCCTCCAGCTCATCAGTGGCATGTAGATTCTTTGGTGGGGGCAACACATTTGGTCTTTATTGTTCTTTTCTAAATCCTCCATTTTTTTTCTTTTTTTTTTCTTTGGTCTTCCATGTAACCAAAGCTTTACTTGGAAACCTGGTGTTATGTTGTTGCAAAACAGGAGGCTCCTAAGAGTAGCCATGCAAGGCACTGAATTTAGCCGTATGAAGTGGAAATCCATCAACTTCATGAAAAAAATTCGTACAGATACAGACAGACATCATCTTCCTTTCCAAATGCAAACAGATGGACATCATACCAAAAGGACTGAAGGTAAAAAAATCCATTACAATCTACATACCACACAGACTATGCCGAGAGATTGTGCCACACACTCTCAAAGAAACTGCGGAACCACCTGATCAACATCCTATACAGCAAACAGGGAAAGATCAAGAACCCCTACTGTTACTCACACCTTCTTGTCAGGGGGAGGGATAGCTCAGTGGTTTGAGCATAGGCCTGCTAAACCCAGGGTTGTGAGTTCAATCCTTGAGGGGGCCACTTAGGGATCTGGGGCAAAAATCAGTACTTGGTCTTGCTAGTGAAGGCAAGGGGCTGGACTCAATGACCTTTCAAGGTCCCTTCCAGTTCTATGAGATAGGTATAGGTATTAACTGTTTGAAATAGGCCATCCTGATTATCACTACAAAAGTTTTTTTTCTCCTGCTGATAACAGCCCACCTTAATTGATTAGTCTCATTAGAGTTGGTATGGCAACACCCATTTTTTCATGTTCTCTGCGTATATATATCTTCCTACTGCATTTTCCACTGCATGTATCCGATGAAGTGGGTTTTAGCCCACGAAAGCTTATGCCCAAATAAATTTGTTAGTCACTAAGGTGCCATGAGTACTCCTTGTTCTTTTCATCAAAATCTAATGGCTAGAGCAGGAGACTGAGATTCAGGACACTTGAGGTTTATTCCTGACTCTGCTACTAACTCACTGCATCAGCTTGGGCAAGTCACTTAATCTCTCTGTGCTTCAGTTTCCTAAATAATGACTTAGCTTTGTAAAAGATTTTGCATCTTCAGATGAAAGGCCCTCTGTAAGTGCAATGTAGTATTGTATGGTGTTATGTTCTGATGTTGTAATGACACAATATAAATTAATATTTTTAAAAATCAACCATTACCTTTCTAGCCTCTGCATGGTCATGGCCAGTGTCTTGTTCAATTCATCTATCATCCGGCACCCTGAAGGGTGAATAGGCAATGAGCTGGATCCAGAAGGCAGATGCTGGCTGTGGCTGCCGTACGGAAGCTGGTGCTGGTGTGCTGCTAATTGGGATGGCAGTACAGAGTGGTGGTGTGGAGCCAAAGGCTGCTGGGAACTCTTCTGCATGGAATAGGATGCAAGAGAGAGGTCTGGCCCCCCTAAAGGCATGCAAATCATGACTTTCTTTGGAGGTAGCGGAGGCGATAGTTTAACTGGCATACAAGGCAGTTTCATAGGACCGCCATGATCTAAAACACAAGAACGAGAGGCACAGACATAAGTTTTGATGGCATTAAAAAGAAGACCACAATATCTACTTAGGTAATCGGGCACAAAGGTTGCCAGTAAAGACAACAGATGAGTCTGCATTGGACTTACCCCTTTCCTGCTGGTGTTGGAATATACTGTACCCTATAACACTCTGAATGGTTTTCAGAAGGGAAGTTTCCACGTCGCAACATTTTTGAGCCTCACAGAAACATTTGAGGACTCTCAGTAAGAAATGCCTTAAACAACAATAGTCCATGTAATCACAAGATCTATGTAGTGTTTTTCATCTTCAAAGCACTTTCTACCAGGGACTAACACTGACAACATCCCTGTGAGCTCTGTGTTATTATCCCCCATTTAATGAGTAACCTGAGGTAAAATGACCAGGCGCCCAAAGTCACAGAATGAATCATCACCACCACAGTGGGGATTAAAACTCAGGAATTTCTGGCTCCCACTGCTACAGTCTGACTACTGCACATCACAGCTCACATTTTTGTGGACCTGCAGAACATTTGGTGCAGCAGAATTATGCTAATGAAAAAAAAATCATGAATGAGGTATAAGGATAATCCAGCAAAAATGAAGGGAAATGGTAGGATTAATTTATTCATTTATAAAACACCTGGCAAACAAACTTCGTGCTGGATTCCCATGCTGTGGATTTTAACCCATGGGGGAAAAATTACTGTTGACTTCCATGGGAACTGGATAAGGCCTCAGAGGTGCATGTAATGGAGACATCTATAAGCAGATGGAATTTCAATGCATTGGCTACCTGAGCTGGGCAGGGGGAAGGAAGGAGACGGGCTGGGTTGCATTATGAAAATTTCTAAAAGGTCAGAGAGCCAATGCAAGGAGCTGGAGATTTGAGAATGAGGAAGGCCATGGAGAAGTAGCCACTTGGGGTTGGGGGATAAGAGAAGATGGGAGTTTACATTATGGACTGATGTTGTTTGAAGTTATAGGGAAGGAGGGAGCTAGAAAGGCCTCCTGAGGTTGGAAGAGGGAGTGACCTCAATGAACCCTTTCAAATCTGGCAAACCTCTGGCATTTGGGTTCTGTAAAGGAGTTCTGGCAGCATAACATATTTAGCCTCTCTGATTTGAGTTCATGCACCTTACTAAAATACAATGAAGAGATAAAAGTGCCAACAGCTTCTTGGGACTTGACAAAGCCCAGCAGATAAGCTGCTGCTGCTGCTGCTGAGGTTTCAAAGGCCATCACATGTTTGTGAGCTGCACCACAGTTTTTAAAAGCACGTCTATAAATTTTCATGTTTGCACTAGCTATCCATCATTTCTGGCCTGGGTATTTATTTGTCAGCAGTGGGGCCAAACCTACTAGCTAGAGTTCAGATGGCTCTTAGGGGCAACACTTCTCCAGAAAGATCAAACTGAAAAAAGACACTAAGATGACAGAAGATGACAGGGACCAAATTCAAGTCTGACATTACTATTTATTATTAGAGTAGCTCTACAATAGCACCTAAAAGTCCCAGTTGAGGTTGGGACCTTATTGTGCTAGGCATTGAACATGCATATTGTAAGAGACAGACCCTGTCCCAACGAATGCACAATCTAAACAGCCAGCCAGGATAGAATCCAAATCTTTTGACTCTCCATCCAGCATGTCCTATCCACTAGACTATACTCTCTTCATTAAAGTCAATGCCTGTTGCATCCCCTTATGCAGAGCCAAATACGGCCCTTGGATTTGCCAGCAAACATGAAACTCCCCTCTGCCATTCCCTACACTCTTCTAAAGCAGACCGGTTTCCACATTTTGCAATTCGAATTTTTATGGTTTTTTTTACTCAAACACAGAACAGACTGAGCTGTCATGTCTCCTATGCACATACATGCACAGTAGCTATGTTTTATCTTTGTACCCTATATACTGTCTTCAAGAAAATTTAAGAGACAATAAAGTGTAAATTGAATAAAACCCTGAGAATAAGGCTCCTCTGCAATGTGTTGTAACAAAACATTTTTATACATTATTTCTCCAGGATACCTTCTAATAAAAGATGAGCCTGAGCTACAAAGCTGGGATCCAGATCTGCACTTCCCTAAACTTCTGCAGTAGCCAGATCTGGGTGTTTGGTTTGGTTCAATCTCTGTTGTACTTCAAGGAACAGCTTTAGTTCACAGAGGTGGTGGTATTCTGGAAGGGAATGCTGTCCTAGTACCAGACCTTCGCTCTGTGTATGAAGTAGAGGAGACATCCGCAATGGAGGGCTCAAAGTGGTACCATCCACCGGAGCTGCTCACTCATGCTCCTGGCTGAAGAAAAGCTGGAAGGAACCATTGAATTTGCAACTTCCTGTGTTTCTGAAGTACTAAAAAAGCTGATTTGCTGTTGGGAGCCAGTGGAATTTGTGAAGTTGATTGAGGCACAAAATAGATAGAAATGCTTCAATTTTTAAAAAAAGCATTATAATGAAAAGGATATTTTTCTTTTTAAATGAGAATATGCCCCTCCTAGGTTTGCAGCCCCAAAACTGTTGCTTTGGGGGACTGTAGCTTGGGGTAGCGTATGAGAACTAGAACATGAAATTCACTAGTTTATTTTCATTGGTCAGCGAAAGGCAAAAAAGCATAAAGAGTGAGTGAGATTTGTAAAATCAGTCTAAATAGTCTAAAATATTATTCATAACACAGGTAAGGACATTTGTTTAAACATATGGGGCTAGAGTACATTAGCATATCTTCATTGACTTCAGAAATGGAGGGATGCTAATTTACACCAGCTAAGGATTTGGCCCATGATTTTTCACCTCGTGTCCACACAGCTTTGAAAGATAGTCATGAAAATCTACTAGCACAGAAACAAAACTTTCTTGTCTGTCCTTTACCATAATAACTTTTGTCTATCAATGAAAATTACTCAAAAGGAGAATTAGTACAACAGAAAGGAGCATTAGAGCCGTTCACTTGGTGACAATGGGCATTGTCCTGAAAATGTGACGAAGCTGTCAGTTCAGTGGCGGTTCTGAATGAGTAAGGTTCTCAGAAGATGGTCCAAACTTATGAGCAAATTTCCCCTCTCCAATCAAACCAGTGGAAACTTCATGGTCTGCAGTGGATCTCATCTAGTGTAAATGAGAGGAAAATTTGACCCATGTGTGTAAGAGGTTATAATTGATATATTAGATTGGGACAATCATATTCTATAGTTTTTTTTAACTCCACTGTTTTTTTTCCATGAGGCATATGGACAGCACATGGGGAGACGTACAGCCCCTAGAAGGGAATACCCATCATATGTATACAAGACTAGGTGAATAACAAGCAGGGAAGGGGAAAGAATGAACAAAAAAAAAAAATCAATGCTATAAGTCCTCCCAGTGGAATGTTACTGCAGTTTTAAATCTTTGCACAAAGCACTGAAATGACAGGATAGTAGCAAAGAGGCCTGGAGATTAATCCTTTCTGGCTGAGGACCCTTGTATCCACTATTATGTATAATGGGGCTAGTTCTGAAAGATGCTGAACAAGCTCAACTTCCCCTGGCACTAATGGGAGTTGAGGTTGTTCAGCATTTTGCTTGATCAGGTCCTAGTTCTGCTGGATTTAATGCAAATAATGCGAGAAAATTAAACCTTATCACTGTTTATGACAATATACTATAATTATATACAAATATATAACTAGAAGATAACATTTGCTACACCAGACTAGGGCACTGATCCATGAGGAAGGCAGCCCCTTCCTCTTCTCCACAATGTACCTGGCCAAGTGACCATCCTGTACATGGGAGGAAAAATTCCTTCTGACTCCTATGGTGACCGGTTGATGCCCCAAAGCACGAGTTTTTATTATCCTTGTTGAAGTACATACAACTACAAATGTAACTACTTGTTATAAGTATCCAGTTCCCTTTTAAATTCTATTCCAGTGGCTAACTGTGACCTATTGTAGTAGTGAATTCTATAGTCTGTAAAAGTCTGCATGTATTTAGGAGGCAGTGTTGCCCAGTGGGCAGGACCCTGAAATGGGATTCAGGAAATCTGAGTTATATTCCTGGCACTGTCATTAATTCACTGTATGAATCTGGGCAAATCAGGCTACGTCTTTACTACCCACCTGAATCGGTGGGTAGAACTCGATCTCTCAGGGATCGAATTATCGCGTCTCGTCGGGACGCAACAATCGATCCCCAAATCCATGCTTGTACTCCACCAGCGCAGGTAGGAGTAAGTGCCGTCGACGGGGGAGCCGCGGTGGTCGATTTGCCGCCGTCCTCACAAAGGGGTAAGTCAGCTCAGATACGTCGAATTCAGCTACGCTATTCGCGTAGCTGAATTTGCGTATCTTAAATCGATCCCCCTCCCCCCCCCAGTGAAGACGTAGCCTCATTTGACTTCTCTATTCCTAGTTCCCAGATCCTCTAAGGCTATGACTACACTTACAGAGGTGTGTAGAATACATATAGTGCATACAACCCTAGCATGGGTATACATAGCAGTCAGGACTGGCTCTAGGTTTTTTGCCACCCCAAGCAAAAAAATTTTTGGCTGTCCCACACCCCAGCCCTGGGCTCTCTCTCCCCCCCCCCCCCGCATCCCCTGCCGCCCCAGCCCTGGGCTCTCCCCCCCACCCACACCCCCTGCCGCCCCAGCCCTGGGTTCCCCCCAGTAGTGCTGACTCCACCCGCTCCCCCCTTGCCTCCAGCTGGTCCGGCCCTGGAAGAGTCGGGGTAAGCAGCGGGGCTCCCGGGCCGCGCCTCAGCCCAGGGTCCCTCCAGCCAGGGCTCCTGCCTCCAGGACTGGCCGGGACCCGGGAGGGCAGAGCCGGGGGAATGAGGGGCAGAGCCGGTAGGGAGCTGAGGAGCCGGGGCAGGGTAGCCCCAGAGGGAGCGGAGCCCTGGAGAGCGGGACGCGGGCCCCGCACAGCAGCGCCCCGCCCTCTATGGCCCCGCTGCTGCTGCTTCTGGCCGCCCTGCTGCAGTCCCTGGGCGGCTCGGGCCGCTTCAC